AATTTCTAAAAGAAATCTAAAATAAAATGAACCTAGAGAAAAAGTACAATTAAAATAAACAACCTGGAGTTAACTCAGTCCCATGGAATTGCTATCCTGAGCTAACACTAATAACTAGCAAGTAAGAATACTGGTTTGATTTAACCCAGACACATTCTTACAGTTCTCAACAAGACAACAACAAACACAAGGACTGGAGGGGAGGGCGCACCACACAAGGGATGCAGGCATCAAGTATTTTTCTGATGCAGCCAGTGACCACGCACGGCAGGCAGTGTAGGACGGATGTTAGTCTTGGACTCCTCGGGGTCCATTCCTCTTTAGTGAGGCCACAGGTTTGCTACGGAAACAATCTGTATGAAGCCCTGCTAGTCACAGTGGTGCATGGGAAAAACAGGAGACACACAGCACGCACAGACACGGGGAACCAGAATTAAAGAGGGACGGTCACAGGAGTCACACGGTGCATGCCACACAGCAGACAGCAAACCCGTCTCTCGGTGGGCAGATTCTTTCTCTGAGAAACAGATGAGCAGTCACTGCGCTCCGGGTCCTACAAGCAGCCAACAACATGTTGATATTGACACAGCATGGCAAGCAAAATGTGCGCTTTCAGAGTTCCCCAATTCTCCCTCCATCACCCAGATAACAAAAATGTGTACAGAGATAATCAAAGGCATCTGCAAAAATAAAGTTGACATATTCTAAACCAGTGTGCTACTGTGGGTTGCAGGTACTCCTTATAAATAGTATTAAAGAAATGAATTACACTTGTAAAACCTTAGAAAAATCACATTAGAGCATCAATTTTATGACATAATTTAAAACATTTTAAACTGGGGATAAATCAAATATTTCTGACATTAATTAAACGACAAAACGAGTCACATAAAAATAACTGGTGTTATCTTAAAGGTGGTTAAGATATCCAAATTGACATTTGAAAATTCATTAATTGCCGATTCGAGGATTATTGACAAATACAGTCTACTAATCTTTATATATCTCTTTGAAGTAAAAAAAAAAAACCAAATATTTTCACACCCTTTGTGTTCTAAACTGTGTTTTGTTACTCCATGATAAAGTCCACTAAAATGACAAATGGGGAATTATTCTGATACTGAGTTGATGAACAGTGAACTTTTAAATTCAAGAAAATATCCATAGCCATCAATTTTCATGTAAAGCACAATTATAAACACTGAGAAGGCATTCCAGGAAGGCTAATATCAACGTGGGTGAATCAGCCAGGTCAGGGTAGGTATCAAACAGAGACAATGAGAGCTGGAGTTCCACTGAGGATACAGAAACACAGGCTTCTGTGCTACAGTTCCACGCAGTTCTCAGCCACCTGGACCCTGCACAGCCTGAGAGTGAAAAGGCTTTACTAGTATGTGGATGTATGAAATGTCAGTAAATGATCCTCTATGTAAATTGCTGTAATTTCTTCTTAAGATACATCAAGCAAGTCCTCCATATTTCCAACCACAAACCTTAACTGTCTCCTGCCTGGCTTGTGAGTAAGTGAAGACCATATCACTCACAACCCAATTACTCTCCATTCTTCTGCCATGATCTGAATGTGACCTTCTTTGTTATAAATAGATCTAACCATGTCTAATATTCACCTTGGGCCTTATGTCCCCATCCCTTACATGGTCTCAAGAATATGACTTTGATATCTCAGACCTTTGTCCCTGTTTCTCATTTTTGAAGCAACATTTGAGTACAGTTATCTTATTATCTAAAACTGGCATTTACAGAAGAAAATTATCATTCAGAGTTAAAGTAGGCCAAGTGTGGTGGCTCTTATGTATAATGCCAGTGTTTGGGAGGCTGAGACAAGGATCAAGAGTTCAAGGTCATCCTCAGCTACAAAGCAAATTCAAAGCCAGTTTGAGTTACATAACATAAGTCTGTGTTTCAAAAAGAAGAAAAAAAAAAAAAGAAAGAAAGAAAACCAAACATAATGACCTACAGGTCATACCCTGTCTGTACTGTGTGATGCATACAATGTTGTTGTCCAAGAACCAGAAACGAAATCAACATGAGCGACCTCGGGAACTGGCGGCTGCTGCTCTCCCTGTTTCCCCCCACGTGCCCCCGCCACACACCCAGGGAGATTTCTTGACATTTGCTGTCGTGGAATGATAACAGACTGAGTCAGCCAGGAACAGTGGAAAACTCTGACAAATAACTGCACACCGCACTGCCGCTGCATGGAGCAGTTACGGGCTGCCACCAAGATAAGGAAGGTTTCTCTCTGCAGGCTCAGACCTCTGAGCAGCATGAACAGAAGCCTCTTCACACTGGCAGCGCCGCCACTGCCCCCGCGATCTAGTTTATCAGTCACTCGGACACATTCTCCCTTCATCAGGGCATCTTTGCATTTTGCTTTGTCTTCAAAACACTGGGGCACAAAGGATGTTCTTCATCGTGCACCGCTGAAACGAAATCTTGAGGTAGGGCAAAAAAAGGAAAAAGAAAAAACCTTGCCCTAAATTCCCTTTCAAAAGTGAAGCATGAAAGACTTCAAGCGGAGCACACAGCACTATTGTGGAAAAGGCCAAGGCCAAGGCCGGCAGCACGGCTCTGCTGCTGCGTCCTCAACAGTGAATAACAACAACAATAAAAACACCCCGGGAGAAAGGCCCCTCCAGGAAATGAGATTTCTCTTTGTCCTTCCTCTTTATTGTCATTAATATCCACGGGCCCAGCTGTTTCCTTTCTCCAGCTAATCCTAAATCAATGCTATGATACTGACCCTTTTTTACTGAGTCCCCTGGGCCTATGACACATCTCCTTATACTCGCTCTGAGCCCCAGAAATTTCAAATGTCTTTTTAATTGAGCAGCAAAACAGAAAGCCTGATTATCTGACTCAGTTTGGTACTGATCTTAAAAATAATTTTTAAATTTTAAAAGGCTTGAAACTTGGATTTAGTGAATCTACTTGGACATTTAAATACCTTTTAATTTGAAGTCATAAGCTAAGGTACAAAAGATAATCAAAATCAAATGTTTAAGTAACAGAATATGTAATATTTCTTTATATGTAAATTATCACAAACTCTCTTTGCATAGTGCCACACGGTTTTGTAAAAAGGGAGATGCAGGCTGTCTAATTTTTCTTACGTAACTAGACAGTTACACACCAAGCTCACAAAATCAATTTCTTTAGTGCCTACACTTTCAGGATAAATTGTATTATTTATGACTGAAGTTGGGTTTTTCAAGCACAAAGATACACTACAAACACGAATTGCAGTGGTACTTTCAGGAGGAATCTGGTACCACGTTGACTCCTGCTGGATTCCACCGAAAGTTCTATTAGTCTAGGCAGCAAAATGATGCCGACTCAGAGGAAACCAATCAAGGCCACAGTAATATGCAGAGATATTTGTAACCCATTTGGGTTTTTCTTTTTCTGGTTTTTTTTTTTTTTTTTTTTTTTTTTTTTTTTACTGATAAGTGAAAAAATGCATCTTTAATGAAAACCTGTACAAGAAACAATGCATAAATTAATGCAGATCTAAAGCAGTTTCTCCTGTGTGGCCATTCTTTGCCAATTTAGGGGGTCACCTCATAATTTAAAACATGATGTTAACTGTCTCCATACTCATGAGAAACATATGATGCCCTCTTCCTGACTAACACTTGACTGTAGCTCTACAGAGAGGCATTGCTAGACATTATGTTTGTTTTCAAATCACTTTTCTTCATTTCCTTCCTATAATTCTCCACTACATAACCTGACATGCCTAAAAGCTAAAATCTATCTGGAACACTGAACTGGGCTGAAGTGGAGATGTCGTCAGCAGAAGCTCACACCTGTCACCAACAATAATCAATGCTCACGTGCTCAGTGAGCCTTCAGGGACACACTTGTGTATGTGCCACACTACTGTGTAACTATTCTGATTCGTCCATTTTCTTGTAAATGTAGAATACCCTCCCACACTGAACTGACATTGGTCTCTTCTCTGCTGAGGAAATTCTCAGACATTTAACGGCCCTTTCTCACATTTTATCCCCTTATCTCAGAACAGGTACAATGGCCGTAGCCTATGAAATGTCAAGTCCCCACTGTAACCATGAGTTTGCTGGTTTAGCAGAGAAATACTGCTATCCAAGGCTCAGGGACAAAGGCTCTTTTAACTGTTTAAGTACGCATTCTCCAAAGGATGCTTGGCTTACTTAATGGTAATATTTGGTATTGTATGATTTTTGAAAATTGATTTTTAGAGCCCTAGACAGAAACCAAAGATTTTCTTTTTTTCTATTAGAAGTCTCTATTCTTGACTTTGCTCCATTTCACTGAGAGAGTGATTTAGTTCCAATATTCTTCACGTTAGAATTACATTGTAGGGGGACTTCTGCAGCAAGCTTGGACATTTAATCCCAGAGTGTTAGGCAGTATGGAAACACTCACTAGTTCAATATATTGCATGTTTCCTTCCAAGAAACTACAAATCTCATTGTGTGGTCTGGAAATGGAATTGCCAAAATTGAATAGAAGAAAAAACGCCAGGAAACAGCAATCCGGGAAGGTGTTCACCGAGGTGTCTGTCTTCTGCAGCTACTTCAATAGCCCCATGCACACCTGATTTTCAACCCTAAAAACAGTTAAATACATAGACTAGTGAACTGCAGTCCCAACAAAGGAAGAACTGAAGTTTTCACCCTTCACAGGGGCGGCAACACTCGAGTTCTCCGTTGGTGGAGCGCAAACACTCAGCTTGCTTTGATAGCACTCAGCCCTGGCTTCGAAAAGCACTGCCATTCCTGCTCCTGTATTTTGTCAGCCAGGCGACCAAGAGTAAGATGGCAGGCGCATTTTCTACCTCGACTTGTTAAAGTTACAACTGCAAGGTTTCAATTTACTCCCAATTCTTTAAAATAATCTGAAAAATAACAGCACACAAAATCTGTAGGTGGACACACTAGGAGAAAAGGCAGTGAGAGTACCCCACCCACTGAAGTCTGGAGAGACATACATACCAAGGCCTTCAGATTCAAAAAGGCATGTTTCGTCCACCCCCAAGTCTCGGCACCAGGATAAGAAATTGGCTGTGTTGTCTCGGGCAAAGAAGGAGCCCGAGGGTGCGCTGGCTTTGCAGGGAATCTTCTTCAGTGGAAGAGTCTGGAAAAAAAGAAACCTCAGTCTGGTGGGATGCTGGGCAAAGTCATCGCAGACACATTAAAAATGTACTTACGCTTTCAACAAAATGTGTTGGAATTTATCTCACGCTGATAAACATGTTTGTGAAAAACAAAGAAAAAAGGTAATATTATGAAAACTCAGGAGACAGGAAGGCTATGCAGCTCCCACACACCCTCATCTCAGGAACACTCACTGTAAATGCACAGGAGGCCTTTCCCTAATGCAGACTGATTTTTCTTTTTCTTCTGAGATTAATTTTGGGTTTTGTTTCAACTAAATAATCTATCAGTTTTCTTCACAAAGTGTGTATAATGTATACTACAAATGCAAAGAATGTATGCTATGATGCATGCAGATACAGCATCAAGTTCACAAAACACAGAAAGTGTGCATGAGCTGAAACCAACAGGCAGCAGAAGAAATCTCTACCTCACCTCTCTCCACACTGGTATCAAGAAGATATATTTAAAGTCTTTAATGATAACATGATAACGATCTGTAGAAATCCTTCCAGGCTCCTTTCTTTTAGACAAACAATGTAGCATGACCATATAGAAATAATTCATGTCTGAACTCCCATTTTTACCTTCAAAGGTACTGTTTACATTCTATGTCACATCACTTTTGACTTAAAAGGAAATGCTTAGGATATTAATGTTTGTGAAGCAAAGAGACAATCCTGCTAACATTTTCCCCAGAAATCACAGCCGAGAACCGCTGCTTGGCCCTTCAGCAAGTGCTACAGGCTTTTTCTCTTACAGAGCAGAACTAGTTTCCAAACACTACGCAAAGCCAAGGAATTCATGTGATGTTAGAACCCAAGTCACACATTTGGCAGATGTGTCACTTGGGACCTTGCTGAAAGAGCACGAAGATCCAGGGAGAATAATTTGTCATTTAGACTCGGAGACAGGCATGTTCTCTATTCACAGAATAAGCAATGTGCAGTGGGTTGCTTCGTTCATTTACAGGGCAGTATAGCAACATGAAACAGTGGCCTGATCGAGTTGGTGAAGTTCCACAGTTCTTCACACCCAGAGGTTCTATGGCTATGTCATAAAAAATGTCTGTTGCTGTAGCCTGGAAGGGCCTGCTATCTGAGAGGCACATCTTTCCACTGAAGATTAAAGTTGACACAGAATACAACCACTGACATTTTTACATGAATAAACAAGTGTGCATGTTTTAGGCACTAGTGTTACGTTAAATTATATATGCATATATTAATAGATGTTATCCATGGGGCTCCCTATGTGGTAATCACTCTTTTTTCTTTTCATTGGTGTATGTTGATTGTACAAAACGTCAGGTTATACGGTGACGTCTTCACGCATACAACGTATTTGACCGAATTCACTTTGGGCGTCACCCGGTTCCCCCTTCCCGAGTTTGCTCTCTCATCCCTAACGCCTCTTCTACTTTCACATTTTCTTTAAAACCTGGACACTACACATGCAATATGTGTCCTTCTGAATCCGGCTTCTTTTGCTGAATATGCTGATCTCCAACTCCACCCACTTCCCTGCAAAGGACATAATCCATTCTTCTCTATGTCTAATTCTCCAGTGTGTGGCATATATCACATTTTCTTTAATCACTCCTTCATGCCCTTGGTGGACACCTAAGCTGAATCCCTAGCTTGGCTATTATGAATGATAATATGATAAGCAAGGGCATATGGCCATCTGCGTGTGAGGCTGACTGACTCCTTCCAGCACATGCCCAGGACTGTTTTAACTGGATCATGTCCAATTTTTAGTTTTGTGAGGAATTTCCTTACTGATTTCCATAGCAATTGGACTGATGTACATTTAGCACCGACACGGTATGCTGGTTCTTCTCCCTCACTCCCTCTCGCCCCCCACCCCTCACCCCACCCCCCACCCCCTCTCGCCCCTCCCCACACCCACTCCCTCCCACACCCCCAATCCCCACCCCTGCAACCTTCCTAGCATTTGTTGCTTTTCTGCCACATAGTAACATCTTGTTAACTGATCTAGTTCAGGTATCAGCAATGGTTTTCAAAGAAATGCCTCCACATAGGAGTCTCAAAAACAATCATACCTCTCACAGTATAATGTTTCCTTTATAAACTATTTATGAACATCAATTAGTATTTTAAGCATAAAATCAAAATGTGCGTCTTTAAATCCAGCAGTTTAGTTCTAAGAATATATACTATTCAACATTGACTAAATAGGAAAAATAGAAATAAAAATATATCAGGAGAGAGTTGGTGGAGTAACATAGTATATAAATACAATAGATTTCATATGATCATGTAAAAGGAATAAAACATACATGTACTTAGGCATAAATGTGATCAGAACATACTCTTAGGTATGTTCTATGTATTTACATGTATGTACTATGACTTCATTCTATGATGTATATAGGTATGCACAGATGACCTAGACATAATGTTAAAGTTCATATAAAAACATTACAACTTGTATATTTATAAAATAAAAATACAAATATGTCAAGAAGAATATGCATCAAATTGGATAATAATTACCTTTGAAGAAGGGACTTGGTGATGAAGTAGGATTTTGAGTGTGGTGAGTATGGCTAGGGAACCAATTCCTTTTTACAGTTTGATTGACAGATTCTAACAGGCACATGTGGATAACGGTCATCATACTGAATAGCAGATCAGGCGAGAAATCAAAGCTTTAGCTGATGCTCCATAAAATGTATCTGACTACTTGTCTGCTTTCCCTCAAAAGAGAGGTCATATCTCCATGCCTCCTAACCCTTTTCTAACGGTTTTTCCCATGTGTAATAAAGATACTGAATGGTACAGGTTAAAGATTTCACTTGAGGGATGAACACTCAGCATAAAAACGGAATTGTTAATAGCGTCAGGGTGCTTAAGCTTCAAAGGGGCAGCAGTGACTACTCTGTGACACTGAATGTCTCTGACGCCCACAGTGGTCACGCACAGGAGATACTGGCTCCACCCCTGACACATGATGGCATTAAGAAGGAGTAACCCAGAGTCTATAGTGTCCATCATAGGGGAGGCACATAATACATGTTTACATATGGATCTCTCTACTAAAATGCTAAACACCTTGAGTTAAGTAATTAACAGTTATGGCATCTCCATCTTCTGGATGAAAAAGTTGAGCTTGTACACAGTTCAAACTAAATCACATCCACAAGCTTCAACTATTCCATGATAGCTCAAATTTGCTTTAAATCCAGGGTATTTCAGCATGTGGTATTTCCCAAATTTGGGCCAAGTAAGGTTGAAGAAGAATTAGGTATTATCCATTACCTATTCCACTTATTAAGTAAAGTAAATCAAAAGAACTAGGTAAATTAAAAGAACTATGCTATCTTCAATTTCCTTTACATTGTTAACTGAAATTTTAGTTCTGGCAGTTCAAACAAGTTTTTTTTAATTCAAAAAAGCTTAAGGCAGACTCCTATTTTTAATTACATCAAGTAGACATTTCAGATATAAAGCAGAAGATGATGTGGTACTGGCCAAGAAGTAATATTGTTTCTTTTCCAAAAGGTATGTGGAGTGTGCTGTTGGAATATATGGGCAATGAAGTCACTTTTTCCACAGTGGAAATAACGTTTCCATTTGCACCCTGTTGCTCTCTGATTCCCTGTATACTTTATTGAAAAGTAATCTCTCCCAGTAAAAATTTTTTGCTGACATTTGGAGTATCAAGGTGTGTAAATTCAAAACCACGCCACTTTAGACAGGATAAAAATGAGAGCTGGAAAGATGGTTCAGCTGGGAAGGACACTGGCATCCAATTGTGATGATCCCCAAGTCCCACATGATGGATGAAAAAAAAAAGCTCCTGAAAGTTGTTCTCTGACCTTCACACATGTGCAGTGATGCATGCACACCCACACTTATATACATACAATAAAGAAATAAATGGAACAGACTGGAGAGATGCTCAGAGATGAAGAGAACTTATTGCTCTTGCAGAGGACCCAGGTTTGGTTCCTAGCACCCACATCAGACAGCTCATAGACACCTGTAACTCCAATTCCAGGGACTCCAATGCCTTCTTCCGGCCTTCATGAGCACTGCATATATTTGGTGCACAGAAACTCACACAGGAACATATATATAAATAATAAATAAACATAAAAAACCACCGTTTTTAAAAGGATGAAATATGCTCTTTAAGATAAAAATTATATTAATTTTTTTTTCAATACAGGGTTTCTCTGTGTAGCTTTGTGCCTTTCCTGGGACTCACTTGGTAGCCCAGGCTGGCCTCGAACTCACAGAGATCCGCCTGCCTCTGCCTCCCGAGTGCTGGGATTAAAGGCGTGCGCCACCACTGCCTGGCACTATATTAAATTTTAAACAGAAAAATTAATCATTTTTGTCATTACATTCTTCTTAAAACTTGGTAATAGGGCCTTGTACTTCAACATTGACTGAATACAGAAGAAACGGAAAGCATCAAGCTGGAATTCTAAATGACCCTCCACTTCTTCTCTAAGATAAATTGCACATGATTGAGATCTGGCTTTTGATGCAAATTCTGTGGTGGCCATCATGTTGTGATATCACAAAAATACTCAACGAGAAGAAAATGCAGAGGTTTCTGACAGTATAGGCTTGCCATAGCTTTCATCCTTTGAAATCGTGAGGATAATTGCCTAAAAGGTCCGCCACACTCCAGTGTAAGGTCCCACAGCCAGAAGCAGTATATGGACAACACAAATGGGAATCCAAGAGTTATGCATTTAAGAAATAAAAGTCACAGAGTTGGAGGGTAGGCAAGTGGTGGTGGATCTGTGAGGAGCAAAATGGGAGGGGTTGGGGTGAATATGATCAAAACGCATTGTAAGAAAATTACTAAAGAAGTAATAAAATATTAAAAATTAGAGTTAAATATACACATAGACCTTTTTTTTTTTTTAATTGAGACAGGGTTTCTCTGTGTAGCTTTGGAGCCTTTCCTGGAACTCACTCAGTAGCCCAGGCTGGCCTC